GCTGAGGCAGTAGGATTGCTTGAGCCCAGGAGTTTGAGGTTGCTGTGAACTAGGCTGACACCACGGCACTCTAGTCCGGGCAACAGAGTGAGACTCTGTCTCAAAAAATAATAATAATAGAAAGAACAGCATAAAGCCACCTGTATTCCGATTCTTGCTTAGAAAAAGTGTGTCCTTCTCCTAGTTAGAAAATTCCATACCAAATAGTAAGATAGCTTTCTCAAATCATAGGAAATAAATACAGCATCACGACATTTAACTTAATGTGACTGCTACAACAGGACAGAAACTTGTTTCAGAGTAGAAGCAGAAAACAATTACAATTGCATCAAATGACATACTGATCGAAATACCTTCAAGTGGGCAAGTAGACTACGTTTAAGTGCAGTGTCAGACTTAAGCTCTTGGGAGTAAGATGTACTCCGGTGACCTTATTTTGCAAAGCCTACTTTTTAACACTTAGATAAGCAGCTCTCACGTTGTCTGTGGATAACTCTTGAAGGAGGGAATTTGTCCTTCCCACCACCCACTTCACAGGCAGTATCCGGACTCCAAGCCACAGCTTGCCACCTGGCGGCCGCCCTGGGGCCCCAGAGGACAATTCCTCAGTACCATAGCAACAGGGTCCAGGACAAAGGCACAGGGCCCGGGGCAAAGGCTCCCGCCCGGCAAGTAGCCAGAACCCATTTGCCCATCTACCCAGGTCGGGTCCCCAATGAAAGCCGACTGAGTGTTCGATTTACGCACGATAGGCAGCCAATAGTTATTCACAGCAGTAAGGAATATTATCTACATTTCATGCGGAGTTTGGAGTATGGGTCAAGGACACAAACTGTCCTAGCTGCCCTCTGACCCAGTCCTAGCCCGGCTACGCCCTCCCGGGTGGCTCCAAGCCAAGGCCGCAGCTCCCAGGGTCGAGATCTGGGGCGTGCACAACTGAGCATGCGCTGCGGCCGGGCCGCCGGCTTTACGGCCGCGCGAGAGGGTCGCAAAGCTGCCCCAGCTCGCTCCCGCTGCCCCCGCTCCCTCCCTCCGCCCCGCCAGCCCGGAGAACCGGGGCGCTGCTTACCGCGTGGTTTATGGGGTGTTCCCTCCCTGTGCCGCTTTTCAGTCTACAGTTGAGTTAGAATCGCCTACATCTTAAAAAATAATTTTAAAAATTTCTGACTCAACGCTATAATACCTCAGTAATAACCCTTTATATCTTAAAAAATAGAAAAAGAAGATAGTTTATTTTACTACTTAACCATCAGTTACTTTTCAAACCACTGCTGTCAAAGATAATTTATTTTCCTCCTTACTGCTGGGATAGTATATTGTTTTTAGTCTTCCTCTTAACCTCTCTGCAGTATTTATTGTTTGTTATTTTTCAAACTCACTAGTCACTACCATTGACTTTTCCAGTACTCTTGAATTTCTTGTCGCTTGACATTTTGGATGCTTCTCTCTCCCAGAGCCCTGCGCCTGCCACTCTCTGCCATCGTCCTCAGTAGCTCCTGCTGGAATCTTTTGCTCTTCCTGCTGCTTAATTGTTGATATTCCCTAAGATTCTCTCCTTGTCTCTCTTCTGTTCTTTACATTCCCTCTCTCAGTAATCTTACTCCCATACATTTAAGCTACTACTTTTTTACTTAATTACTTAAGTACTTCATTTACTTTAATTCCTATGCCAATTATATATATATATATTCCTATGCCAATTATATATATATATATATATCAGAATTCTTCCTCCAACCCAAATCCTACACATACAAGTGTCTTTGAACAACCACAAATGCATGTTCCTCCTACAGGCCCCACAAACTCAAACTGAATTCATCACCTTCTGGTTCCTCCTGTAGTTTCTGTCTCTGTTAATGGCAGCACCACATTACATCAGACAGAACCTAGTCAACCTACCATTCATCTCCCTTTCCTGTCTTCTCACATGTAACCAATCACCAATAATTTAAACTCTGTTTCCTCAACATTTTTCATCTCTGATTCCTCTTCCTTGTTTTTACCTTACTGCCTCAGTTCACAGTTTTCTAATCTTGTGCTTGGACTAGGGAAAAACTGAAAATCAGTGCATCCAGTTTCATATACTTCAATCCATTTTTTTCATTGCAGCCCAGAAGGTCTTCCAAAAACATAAAATTGACTGTTTCCCCATGTTTAAATCCTTCATTGACCTCTCTTTAACTATTGAATGGAATTAAAATAGTATGGCATAAAAGGCCCTCCTTACCTGGCCAGACTTATCCCTTGCCAAGCTTCCCTCTTCCAGCTTTTTACCTCAGCTACACATATTGCCTACAGTTCTCTAAAAATACAAAGTTACTTAAAATCTTCTAGTTTTTCTCTCCTGTGTCTCTGTGCCTGTAATGTTCCCAGCCCCTTGAACACCCACTCTTGATTCCATGTCTTTTGGAACATCTTAAAATCAATTCAATTCACTGTCACTCCCTCTGTCAAATATTTTCTGATCTCCTCTACTCCATTAGGTAGAAATAACCAAGCTCTGAGTTATGTCTGCACATGCTTCTGCCATAGGATCTTAATTATACTTACAGCTCAGTTGGGAATTGTATTAGACTTTCAGTTTCCTTGTAAACAGGGATTGTACTATATTTGACATTGTATCCTCAATGCGGAGATAATATGAACCCAAAGATAAGTTTGTCTCTCATTTTTACTTTCTATCTTCTCAATTGTTAGGCATTTTTTTTAACACAAACATGATTGTTATGTTGAGATAATAAAAATGTAGAAAATAAATGAATGTATAGGATTCATTTTGTTCATTCTAAAGAAAAAAATAAACATTGTCCACTCATAATTGTGCCATAGCATTATGTTGAATCTGAGTGCTCCACGTTGCCAAAAATTCTCAATGATGTCTTCCCTGTTGTTTTTAACAGCAAAAGTATATCAGATATATTTACCTGAGAAATAATTAGTCTCCCATAGTGACATTCCTCTAAATATTTTGATTATCATAAAAAGATGAAAACAAGATATCATACATGTAGGGTAAGATGATGCTTTTCAGATGTTTGCCTCCAAGACACTTCTTTGTAACCTTCACCCCTAGTGTTTCAATTTCCATTTCTCACAAAGAGGTGCCAGATGTTGCAGTTAGTGTTTTATCTTGCTCTGCTTCCCTCTCCACCCTTCAACCTCAGCAGAACTTCTTTGTACACACTGTTCCTGATTATGCTGATCCCTAATCCTTGAGAGAGTTCCTGTCTCCAGTCAAAGGTGAAAAATGAAGTTATACACAAGCCACTCAAAACCACAGCCTAACAACTAACTCTTCATAAGGTTTGTTGGAGGAAAACACTTTGAATCCTATTACACATATTCTGTGGCTACAGAAACTGACATTCCCACTGTTGTCTCTTAGCTTCATGTCAAAGAAACTAGAAATCCTCAATGTCCCCTAACAGCTTTACTGAGTGGTTTAGTTAAAAAAAAAAAAAAAAAAGCCATATCTGTAGGTCTCAGGTAGAAGATCACTCAATGAATAGAAAGTGAATGGAAACATTTAGTAAGGGAAAAGTTATTTGAAAAAGAAAAGAAGGAAGAGAGCAGTTTTTTTAAAAAAAAGATGTGTCCAGATTTACAGAGGTGAAGAAAAATTGGATCTGGTGAGAAGGGAAGGGATTTATTAAGATACAGACACTGAATGCACATCTCTGTAATGTAGACTGACACAAAACTGCTGAACAGAACACTTTAGGAATTCTCAAGGAATGGGATATGGAAAGGAACTCACATTTTTGGAGTGTCTGTAATGTACCAAGTACTTTACATACTTTATCACTCTTAGTACTTCTAGCTACCTTATAAGGGAGGTTTTGTTACTTTTATTTAATATTAGTTAAAGTTAATATGCATTAATAGGCATATAAGTACATAAAACAATGCCTGGCACATAATAAGTACGATGCGCATGTTTGCTATCATTAACATTTTATAAATGAAGAATGTGAAGCCCCAGAATATTTAAGTAACTTGTCCGAGATCACACAGATGGCAAGTGGCATACCTGCTGTTAGGCCTAGAACTGGGTCCTGTCTACGTTATGGTGTGAGGCCTTTTCAGCTAGAACTTAGGTCACATTTCTGCTTTACAGTGGCTGAGTGGCCCAAGAAATATGATCCGTCTCTGTGTGTGAATTATGGAACTGACTAGAACTGAAAAAAAAAAAAGTTATTACTATGTCATCATAGGGTGAATAATTGAAAATAAAATTATGACAGCTAAATGTAACTAAAATTAAATACTTTTATAATATGATTCCATCTTCTCAATAATATCCTGAGACTAACAGAGTGAAAAGGAATGGGGATTGTATGTAACTGAATAGGAGGCCACTATTTAGATTATCAAATCACAGAATTTCAGAGCTAAAAGGACTTTAGAAAGCCTCTGCTTTATCACCCTTCATTTCACAGATGATAGAACTAAACACTTGATGTTGACATGAATCTCCCAAGGTCTCACAATGTCAAGATGCAAAATTATTATAACAAAATCCAGGGTTAATTTAGCTACTTGTAAATCTTCCTCTAAAGCCATGAGTTCAAAACTAGCATAAAGGTAGCCTTTATGAATCAAAATTTCCAAATCAGATCACAGATGGTAAATAGAACAATGCTTGATTTAGTCTTCATAGGAAAGTGGCTAGGAGAAGGGATGTTGCTTTAATTATACATACAATTTCACCTTTAAATGCTATACCTGTATGGAAAAAACAATACACCCTTAACTGCAAACCACTGTGCTAGCAATAGAATTTCAGAAAAACCAAACATCTGTGTATACACTGAGTTTGGATTTCCAGATGTTCACATCTGTGACATTAAGTTGTGGAAAGTACGCAGTTACACATCACTGTAAATCATGAAAACATTTCCTCTCCTTCCTCCATTTTATACATTCCTAGGAGAGGTAGCTCATCTTGTGCATTTCTCAAGAGCTCTGGTCTATTTGGACTCCAGGAGACAGAGTACCTGTGTGCCCGGGTTCTGGCCGCCGGGTTTCAGCAGAAGCTCGAGAATGCAGGCTCATGGTGGTGTCCCCATCATCATCCAGCATGTCCCTTGTGCTGCTGAACTTGGCCTGCATGACGTTCCTGCAGGGGTGAAGGCTAGATGTGATCAGATTGCCCCAAGCCGCCTGGCTACTGTGAGCTAGTTCAGGAAGCAAGGCACTGAAAGGCATTCCTAATGTTCTCTCCCAGCAAGTAGCAGGGGAAATCTCTGACTCCAGTTCCTGCCTGGAGAGGCCCAGCCCCTCTCCTGTGAGCTTGTTCTCTGAGTGCCAAATTGGTCAGGCTCACGGGAAATAGCACGTGTTGTCTGTATGGGCGGTCTCTGTCTGAGCAGCTATACAAAAAAGTTTGCCCTACTCAAATCTCTTTTGTTATCTGTTTACACTTCTCCCGCATGTAACTACCGCTAGACAAAAAAGAAAAGAAAGCAAGACCTTACAGTAGCCCTGTGGTTCCTTCAGACTCTGCAGATTGATATTAATAACCAGTCGGGGGACACATATTCCCATTGCTTACCCACCATACATGGAATCACTTAGAGTGCGTTTCACACATTAACTGTCATGTGAGTTGTAGTTAAGTCACACTAGTTTTGAGCCTCATGAAGCATATGTAACTCACATGTCTCTTTACTTTGGGAGCCACATGGTGCGCAGGCAACTCACGCTGCCATGCTGCAACATACATGTTACATGATGGGTGGCCCACCAGGCAAAACCCGGCAGTTGATTCATGAAAATCGTATACGTTGATATTCTTATTGTTACAATTAATAGTGACAATTTAATTCTAAAAATGTGGATTCAATGAACAGAAGTCAATAGCAAACTTTTTATTAAATTAGAAAGAATCATTTTGTTTTTGAAGTTTTTATACTATTATCATAATAAAACACTGTGGCCCCAAGGAAGAATTTTTTTTCTAGTGTGGCAGTCAATGTGTTAACCTCTCTGTGCCTTCATGAAAAGAGAAGAGACTGTAGGACCAGCCTCTTCCTTTCTCCAAGGGCAGACTGTAAAGCATCATATACATGAAATGTCAGCACAAAACAGTCCTCCTGAGAGCATCTGATTGATTCTACTCTCATTTTACAGAAAGGGAGATTAAAGCCCAGCTAGGTAAAGTGATTGGTCCAAGGCACATTACTGATTAGTGACAGAATAAGCTCTAAAAGTGCTCTCTTGTCAATCAATTTAATGATCTTTCTTTTTATAGTATCTGAACTTGATTTAACATTTTATAGCACACTTGGTACACCATGATCATGAGGAATTAGATATTTTCCTAAGAGTGAGAACTTTAAAAACTATTTCTAACCACCATGTGGCTTTGGGAAGCCAATTAAGAATCTGTGCCTAAATTCCCTAAACTGAGAAGGAAATGAGAAGATTGTTTTAGATAATGTCTAAAAATTCTTCCCGAATTAGTACAATAAAATTACATTATTCTACCCCAATTTTTCTAGATGTTGGGTGATAGCTAGGCAAAATCAAGCATGCTAAACATAAAGGAGTGTGGAAAATGCTTATAGGGTAGCCAGACCCTATAAGAGATCTATCAGGAAGTATATACTGTATATTCATATGTGTTTCAAGCTGTGGATTAGTTATCATATTATTCTAAATTTAAAAAAAAACTAAAAAGAACTTCCTCTTGAATAGTGCCCTATAAAACATAGAAAATCAAAAATTATTTGTTCATTTGCATTGAGTGGAATATTAATCAGCAGTATAGGAGAGAAAAAGGTAGTTAAAATTTTGAAGACAAAGGTACATAAAGCACAAATGAAAATGAAAGAGAAAGAATACTAAAAATTGCAACAGCTGTGGTCAGGAAAATGCATTTAAGAGGTTATTCAGTTATTCAAGTAGATCCTTGATAATTGACAAACAAGCTACGTTAACATTTACACTACTTTTCCATAGATGCTTATTTTTTTCAACAATAACAAAAATATTTTTGAACATCTACTATATGGCAGGTGCTATTCTCAGATTCTTGCATACATCAGTGTAAAGCAAAGTTCTCTGTTCTTTTAGAGCTTTCGTTCTGTGGAGAAAGGCAGATGATACATAAGAAAGATAATAAGTAAGTAAATAATAGAGTATATTGGACTATAATAAGTGTTATGGCAAATATACAACGGGTAAGGAAGATTAAGGATGTAGGCGGGGAAGGACGGTTGGTCATTTTAAATAGAGTAATCAGAATAAGCTTCATTAAGAAAGTGATATTTGTACAGAGACTGGAAAGAGGTGAGAGAACAGGCCCTGCAGACATCCCAAGTAAAAGTCATTCAGGTGAAGGGGACAAGAATCCCAAAGTCCCTGAGGTGGAAGCATGCCGAACTGACACGATTGGATTTGGATTTAATGAACACACTCTGTTTTGTTTGAAAATGAACTGTACAGGGACAAGAGTGAAGGCTAGGAGATAACTTCAAAACTTACTGTTATAACCTAGGCAAGTGAACATCATGGCCCTTCAGGAGGTATTTCCCACTGCGGTCCCCAACCCTCAGGCCACAGAACTCTGCAGCCCCCTTCGCCCCCTCCCTCCACCTTCCCCATTCCCCCTTCCCGCCCCCAGTGCGAGGAAAATTTGTCTTCCGTGACTTAGGAAAGGGGAAAAAAAACGTGCACACAGTAGCGGGTGAGCTGAGCAGCTGGTGAGGGAGGGGTGAGGGAGGGGTGAGGGAGGGGTGAGGGAGGTGTGTGGGAGGGGCGAGGGAGCCGAGCTTCATCTGTATTTACAGCTGCTCCCCATCCTCACATCACCACTGGAGCTCCAGGTTCCCTGGCCCCTGTAGGTGGAAAAAATGTCTTACATGAAACCAGTCCCTGGTGTCAAAAAGGTTGGGGACCACTGCTCTATGATGACCATCATTCATCCTGTAGTTGCTCCTGAAACTTAGGTTCAGCAAGCAGCTCTTTTCCCTTTTTTTCTCTCTTGGAAAGTGTGGCTGTCTCCTGTTCACTCACATGCACGCTCCATGTAAGCTGCAGTACAAATGTGTGTCAGCTGGTCGGGTATGGTTCACCTTGGGCAACCCAGAGCCATCTTACTTTACACCCACTCTGGTCATGTGCAGCCCTTTAAGTCATGGGTTATTATTGCTTGGCCTGTGTGTTCTAGATTAATACAGCTTGATTTTCAGCATCTAGAATTATTTTACTTGATTACATGATTTCTTAAACTCATCCATCCCATCCTAGGGACTCAGGAGAAATCAATTAAACCAAAAACAAAATTAAAATACTTGCCTTCTCCTCAAAACTCCATCCTGTGTCTTAGTTAACTACTTAAACCAGTTTATCATGTTTTTACTCTCAGCCTGAATTCTCTCTTCCTTCTCTACATTGTTTATTAGATAGTGACAACACAAATTTGTATATTAAAAGGCAAAAGTAAACTTCACAAAAATCTCTGCCTTTATCTCTTAGATTTAAAAAATTTTTAAAGATCTCATATTTTTGCTTCAGTACAAAACTATTTACTACACACACCCTTTCCCCAGTACCAAATTCATCATCACTTGTGGGGATAGGATGAATTGTGATAGTGATTGTTACACACAAGCACATCATTTAGAGGCCAAAGGTTATTTTTATTGAGGTGAAATCCATATAACATAAAATTACCCATTTTAAAGTGAACAATTCAGTGACAAAATTCAACAATTCAGTGACTTGACAAAATTTCTGTTTACATGTTAATCAACTGGAGAGGGCTGTAAATGACTCCCCAACAACATAAAAATCTCTGTTAGAAATAAAAATAGCACCAGTAGGAAAGTTTGAAAGAAAATGAACCAAATTATCACATGAGGAAACAGTAACATTCTCATTGTACCTTTTTATAGTAATTACTGAGGAATTGGTAAAAACTGAAAACCAGCACCTCATAAAAATAATAGAGCATGTTTTGCATCTCAAAATGTTAATACTTCTGCCAGTGAGATTGGGTACTTTTGTATATTCATTATCAGATGTTACTGATTGATACCATTTGAAAAGGAGAAACTTTCCTATCAGAGAAGTTTCCCTACAATTTCATATTACACAGGATTTTATTAGTCAGAGATATGGCAAACATACTTTCTGGGCCATTTATTGATAAAAAGTTGGATCACCGCTTTTTGATGATGATAATTCTAATTGCGATCATAATGGTGAAAATAATAAAATGCAGTGAAGACTTTTTTTTGCCCTTTCTTCATTTAGCTAGTTGAAAGTATATTTTTCCCTCTACCCATGTCTGACATACTGCTAGAAGTTGAGGAATCGGTCATGAAAACACACAGTTTTTACTCCAGTGACACATTTGAGGACAAAAAACAACTCTGGTTGAGCCAGATATTAAGACTCTCTTGAAGCTCCAACGACTGTGGCTTATCCTAAGTAAATGTTGAGTCAATAGAAGAATGAAAATTCAAGCTTAGCTACCCTGATTCCATGGCTAGGGTTCTATCAACTAGAACATGATACTACTGGCCTGCCTACCTATAGAGTTGACAAGTACAGAAATCAGAGCCTCTCCACCCTAAGATTAAAGTTTGCCAAGCTCCCTAAATATTTTCAGCATTTATTTTGATCTCAAATATCACTCTTTTCTGTTCTGTTTTCTGACCTCCTTACTGTCTTACATACTTCTCTCTCCTACCTTCACCCTCCCCCTTACACTGAAAGCTTCTTCTCACAGATACTGTACGAAGGCACACTACAAAGTTGGTCATAAATGATTGACACGTGAATCCATACACAACCGGGAGATGAATTTTCCTGGGTAGCTGTGCTTCTGAGTTGAAACCTGTTAAAACAGAATATAATGAGGTAATTAGAACAAACTTAAGGAACATGGTCTACACAGTACCCAAATAAATTGGTAAGGGTATTGATGAAAAGAGTTCTAAAGTGTTTATATTAAAACATATGCAAAAGGAACTTTGAATTTAGATTGTATTGACTCTCAAGTGATAAAAGAATAGTCTCCATTATTGAGGCAGAAAAATGATTCAATTTTTTTTTCAAGAAATACTACTGGTTGCATAAAATTAAATAAAACTCCTGGCAAGGTACAAAAACGATTTAATATTCTATAGAAAGTCCTTTACTTATTGTTTGCCTGTTACCTGGGTGTATATGAGAAGTAAACAGTTAAATGACACTTAAAAATGTGATCCTGCTTAATGGTTTGTGTTAAGACGCAATGGTGCCTGCCGGAAGCAACTGAAATGCCACTCTGTGAACTTCAAATTAGTTCTACAAATATTTTAAGATACAATGTCAAACACACTATCAAAAATAATCAGATTTGAAAACAAATCAACATGAATGAAAAATAAGGAAAAATTGATATTTGTGAGTATAAGACATTGGAATTATCCGACACTAATGTTAAAACAACTATAGTTAGTTTTTCTGGAAGTTAAAGGACAGTATTGAGAATGTTTGGAGAAAAAATGGTAATTATAAATGGTGACAGGGTAGATTTTAGAAATAACCAAGCTAAAATTACACAACTGAAAAATTCATCAAACAAAATATACAACTAAATGGAGCTTTTAATAGCAGATTAGCCATAGAAAAGGAAAAACAAATGAACCTGAAGATACATGAGAAGTAAATAGTTTACTCTTGAACAACATGGGTTTGAACTACACAAGTCCACTTATAGGTGGATTTTTTTCAATAAATATATTGGAAATTTTTTGGAGACTTTCAACAATTTGAAAACCTCACAGATAAACTATGAAGCCTAGAAAAAATTAAAAAACTAAGAAAATGTTAGGTACGCATAAAATGAATGCATGCATGCATAATGCATGCATAATGCATGAATGCATAAAATATATGTAGACATTAATGTATTTTATCATTTACTAACATATCACAAATCTATTATAAAATGTTAAAATTTATCAAAACCTATACACACACAGACTATAAATGGCACTATTCACAGTTGAGAGAAATGTAAACAAATGTCAAGATGCAGTATTAAATCATAACTGCATCAAATTTACCATAATACATACTGTACTACTGTAATAATTCCAAAGCAACCTTCATGTTGCTATTGCAGCGAGCTCAAGTGTTGTATGTACTTAAAATGCTCTGTGACACCAATAATCTTCTCATGAGAAGTAAAAAGCGATCTCTTGTGGTTCTCTTATATTTTTTCATCATGTTTAGTGCAATACTATAAACTTTGAATCACATCATCGGACCCATACCAAGTGCCACTAGTGATACTGAAAATGCTCCCAAGAAACAGAGAAAAGTCATGACATTACAAGATAAAGTTGAATTGCATATATATACCATAGACTGAGGTCTGCAGCTTTGGTTGCCCACCATTTCAAAATAAATGAATTTAGCATAAGAATTATTGAAAAAAAAATTCATGAAGCCCTCATTGCAGCTATGCCAGGAAGGGGCAAAAATCTTGCACATTTTGTGAAATACGTTTTTATCTCATGTTGAAAATGCAGTTTTATGTGGGTGCAGTGTTGCTATGAGAAAGGCACATCTAAAATTTTGAGGTAAGTCTTGCCTATGCCTGTTTTGTTAAGCATTCTTATCATAAAAGGGTGCTAAATTTTGTCAAATGCTTTTTCTGCTTCTATTGAGAGAATCATAAGGTCTTCGTTTTTGCTTCTGTTTATGTGGTGAATTACATTTATAGATTTGCATATGTTGAACCATCCCTACATCTTGGGATGAAGCCCACTTGGTCGTGATGGATTATTCTTTTGATAAGCACCTGAATTTTGCATCTATATTCATAAGGGGTATTGGTCTGTAGATTTCTCTTTTTCTTTTTTGAGACAGAGTCTCGCTCTGTTGCCCGGATTACAGTGCAGTGGTGTCAGCCTAGCTCACAGCAATCTCAAACTCCTGGGCTCAAGCTATCCTCCTGCCTCAGCCTCCCAAGTAGCTGGGACTACAGGCTTGCACAACCATGCCCAGCTAATTTTTTCTATATATTTTTAGTTGTCCAGCTAATTTCTTTTTCTATATTTTAGCAGAGACAAGGTCTCACTCTTGCTTAGGCTGGTCTCCAACTCCTGAGCTTAAACGATCCATCTGCCTCAGCCTCCCAGAGTGCTAGATTTACAGGTATGAGCCATAGTGCCTGGCCTGTAGATTTCTTTTTTTGTTGAGTCCTTTCCTGGCTTTGGTATCAAGGTGATGTTGGCTTTATAAAACATGTTAGGAAGGATTCCTTCCTTCTCGATATTATGAAATAATTTCTGCAAGATAGGTAGCAGTTCTTCATTGTAGGTCTGGTAAACATTTGGATGTGAAACCATCTGGTCCAAAATTTTTTTGTTGGAAGATTTTTTTATTGCTCCTTCAATTAAGATATAAGATAGTGATCTGTGCAGGAATTCTATTTCTTCCTGATTGAGCCTAAGGAGACTATGTGTTTCTAAGAATTTGTCCATTTTCTCTACATTTTTAAGTTTATGTGCATAGAAATTTTTACAGTATTCAGAGATAATATTTTGCATTTCTGTCTGTCATATCAGTTGTAATTACTCCTTTTTCATTCCTAATTAAGATTATTATAGTCCTTTCTTTCCTGCTTTTGGTTAATCTAGCAAGAGGCCTGTCAATTTTGCTTATCCTTTCAAAGAACCAACTTTTTGTTTTATTAATATTCTGTATATAGTTCTTTTGTTATTGATTTCATTTAGTTCCACTCTAATCTTGGTTATTTCTTATCTTCTGCTGGGTTTGGGATTGGTTTGCTCATCATTGCTTAATTTCTTTGAAATGATTCACTAGATTGTTGATTTGTGATCTTTCTGCCTTTTCAATGTAGGCATTTATGGCAATGAATTTTCCTCTCAGGACTGTTTTAGCCGTGTCTCACAGATTTTGATAACTTGTGTCCCCTTTGGCTCAAAGAATCTTTTGATTTCCATCTTAATTTCCTCCTTGACCCAACTATCATTCAGTAGTAGGTTGTTTAGTTTCCATGACTTTGTGTAGAGATAAGTATTTCTGTTGGTTTCTAATTTTATTCCACTGTTATCTGAGAAGATACATGGTATAATTTCTATTTTTAAAAAATTTTTGAGTCTTTTTTTTTAGGCCTAGAACGTGATCAATCTTATAGAATGTCCCATGAACTGATGAGAAGGAGGCATATTCAGTGGTTTTTGGGTAGAATGTTCTGTAAATGTCTGTTAGGCCCATTTGTTCTAGAGTTCTGTTTAATCCATTGTTTCCTTGCAACAAACCCACAGCCAACATCATAATGAACAGGAAAAATTGAAAGCATTCCCACTTAGAACTGAAACCAGACAGAATTTCCCACTACTACCATTTCTATTCAACATATCACTGGAAGTCCTAGCCATAACAATCATATACGAAAAGGAAATAAAGGGTATCCAAATGAGGGCAGAAGGGATCAAATTATCACTCTTCACTGACAATATGATCTTATGTCTAGAAAACCCTAAAGATTCTTCCAAGAGACTACTGGAATTGATAAATAAATTCAGCAAAGTCTCAGGTTACAAAATCTATACACAGAAATCAGTAGCATTCATGTATGACAGTCAAGCTGAGAACCAAATCAAAGACTCAATAACTTTCACAATAGCAACGAAGAAAATAAGATACCTAGCTTAAAAATATATTTAACTAAAGAGGTTAAAGACCTCTATAGGGAGAACTATAAAACACTAAGGAAGGAAATAGCAGAGGACATAAACAAATGGAAAACCATAGCAAGCGCATGGGTTGGCAGAATCAACATTGTTAAAATGTCTATTATCCAAAGTGATCTACAGATTCAATGCAATCCCTATTAAAATACCAACATCATTTTTCACAGATCTAGAAAAATAATTCTACACTTTACATGGAATCAGAGAAGACCCCATATAGCCAAAGCAACCGTAAGCAAAAAGAACAAATTTTGAGCCATCAATTTACCAGAGTTTAAGCTATACAGAAAAGCTATTGTAACCAAAACAGCATATTACTGGCACAAGAATAAAGACATAGATCAATGGATCAGAACAGAGAACCCAGATATAAAGCCATCCTCATATAGCCATCTGATCTTTGACAAAGCAGAGAAAACATACACTAGGGAAAAGAATCCCTATTCAATAAATGGTGCTGGGAAAATTAGATAACCACGTGTAGAAGACTGAAACAGGATCCACACCTCTTACCTATCACAAAAACCAACTCACGATGAGCAACAGACCTCAACCTAAGCCATAAAACCACAAGAATTCTAGAAGAAAATGTTGAGAAAACTCTTCTAGACATTGCCGTAGGCAAATAATTTATGAGGAAGACCCCAAAAGCAATGACGGCAATGACAAAAATAAATAAATGGGACCTGATCAAATTAAAAAGCTTCTGCACAGCAAGGAAATTATCGTCAGAGCAAATAGACAACTTACAGATGGGGGAAAATATTTGCATGCTATACATGTGATAAAGGGCTGATAAGTAGAGTCTATAAAGAACTTAAGCAAATCAGCAAGAAAACATCAAAATTCTCAATATCTCTAGTCATCAAGGAAATGCAAATGAAAACCACAACGAGATATCACTTAACTCCAGTGAGAATGGCTTTTATCAAAAGTACTAAAGAAACAAATGCTGGCATGGATGCAGAGATATAGGAACACTCATACACTGCTGGTGGGACTGCAAACTAGTTCAACCTCTATGGAAATATGACGATACCTCAAAGACTAAAAGTAGAATGCCATTTGATCCAGCAATCCCACTCCTTGGTATTTACCCACAGGAAAAAAAGGCATTCTGTAA